GCTATATATGATGATTCTACAAAAGATAATGTACTGGAAGACATGAGAACTTTTAGTATGCTACAGTGTAAAAATATTTGGAATATGGTATGGTTTGTCGGACCGGAACCAAAGCAAGAACGAGAAGGAGCTTAAGTAGGGCCATGTTGGGGTGTCGCCACAATAGGAAATTGTCGCTGGTGCTAGATACCAGGGGAACCAAAAAAATCTTTTTTCTACAAAGGTAACGAACTTTTTGGGTCTAGAGGGACCAAGATGAGCAGGGCATCAACATCCTATTCCTGCTTATCTTTGTTTTCTTTGTATCTGTATTATTAATCTTGGTTTCAACTGGCGTGTTGAGTGCAATCTTCCGGGTGCAATCCTCAAATATGGGATGTCATACTAGCCTTAATTCAACATCTGGAATGGCTTATGATGGCATGGAGTTCCATCATTTCGGCTGCTTGTGGCGGGGAGTGTGGCCGGTGCTTGCGGCAGCAGCGAAGCGGCGTGCGCGAGCGCAGTGTAGGCAGTGGCCAAAGGCTCATCGGCCGCTGCGAGTACGCCGTTGGCACCAGGTTCATGACATTGTAAAAAAAATCTTGATTCAATATTCTTTCGTCATTATTCCTCTTTCATGTTCTTGATCCTTGAAGATACTTGCTAGATTTCTAGCTGATATTTTTTGGTAGTATAAGCTCGATGTATATGGCCTGAATATGACCTGATTCAGAGTGCATTGTGTTCTGAAGCTTTTTACTGTATGGTTCTCTCTTGAAAGAATTCAAGCCATTGTTCAATAGGAGAGAATAGTTGTAATCCTGAAATAAATGTCGTACCTATTCAACAACTGACACAATTGCCACTGAGATCATTATTTTCCTTTTTTTCAGGTTTTCAACATCACAAATTTCATACTAATGGAGTGGAGCTACCAAAATATCTATTGAGGTAAAATCACTATATACATATTGTATTCCCCCATTGCGTCAGGCGACACGCATCTGTTGCAAAGAAATAGGCATCACCTGCGTACTTGCTTTTGTTCGTTTCTAGCCGGCAAGAATCCGTCGAGTCTTCCTCTATGTGTGCAACCTTGCCAGCATGGGAATCAATCAAGGTAGGGGCAGCCAACGTCAAGTATGTGCAGTCTTGCCGGGATCCAATCTATTGACTCCTTCAGCCAGCTTTGCACTATGTGCACGACGTCCATGCTCGAAAGCACTTTGCAAGTGGACCATGCACGGCTCCACCGGCCTTGGGTCAACAATTCAAATCCTTATCTTATACTTCCTCTGTCTGAAAAAGCTTGTCCCAAGCTTGTCCCTTAAATGGATGTATCTAGCACTAACTTGGTGCTAGATACATCCATTTGAGGGACAAGCTTTTTCGGACGGAGGGAGTACTACTAGATAGACACATACTTTTTTATGCAATTCTTAATTTATAGAAGCAGAAGAACTGATTATGTGAATTGAATATATAATCCCATGTGTAGGTGCTATCCAAGTGTTGTGATTATTTAGCACACATAACTTGCAGGGAGATAACTCTATAGTATGAAGACTTTAAAATACGAATGCGTGTCGTTGGTGTTTTTGAAACCATCTTCCATCACGTGTAATATTTTTGTATTTCATAATAGTAATTGTTCAGCCTTTGACTGACATATGGATGATATTTGTAATATATATCTTTCTTCCATATGACGGTAACATTATGATGAAGGTGGAACCATAGAGAGATGTGTATTTTTAATTGAGATATTTTCAGGAGTACCTTTGTGAAGCTGATATATCTTTCTTTTACAAGATATGGTTGCACTTGCTTCATCTACATAGGCTGTCTGGAATGCCATGAGGCCGGGATTGGTGTAAGAAATCTTCAAAGCTATTATATTGGTCTCAAGAAACTTGCAATACATCAATGCATTATTATTTTAAATTTTTTTGCTGACACCATAGCTACCACCTCTTCACTAAATGACAGAGGTTGCCAGCAACTGCACATGGAAATATTTAATGTTATATTATGTCTACTAATCAATAAGGAGGGAGATCAAATTACTGCTCTCAAATATTCACCTGATTGATTTTGAAAAGAGGGTTAAAAATGGTGTTATGAATGAAGATGGATGGGGTTGAGGGCTGGGAGAAAGATGTTGTATTGCAAGAAGAAGTTGGTTAAGAAGACTGACGATTATGAGAATGAAGGACACAAACTTTTGAATTAGACCAATTGTTTGATCGATCATTTTTGTTCTCTTGAAAACGATATATGGTCAATTTTAGTATTCTGATGTGATTGAAGAATATAGGAGGGACAAAGAGATGTGCTATTGCCAGGACAGTTATGACTCTCTATTAAGGTATTCAGATATGATTCTCTATGGTCATGCTTCTCCTGTTCACCTGGAAGTTTATTGATGGGAGGGAAGCCACTTCTGCTCTGATGATTTCTTGGAAGTTCAGGTTAAAACACTTTCGCTCTTAAAGTCTGTTTATCAATTCTTTGGATAACCTATTTAATGATTGGTTTTGATTTTCATACAGCTAGGTGAATTTACAATACAAGTCAGATTATTTGCGAGAGAATTTCATTCCCTAGAATCATTGTCATTCTTGTTGCCTACAAGGTACTTGAAGAAAATGCCCGAGACATATTTTAAGGAGTATAATTCAGCACTAAGGCTATTATTACAACGCTGAAATCTTTGTTGTGGTAGTTATGTCTCCAAATGCGTCGATCCCTATCGGCTACTGAAGTAAACTTATTTATTTTTTCTGTGTCGATTTCTATTGGCTTACTGATAGCTTATTTATTCTTTTCGAATTTTAATTCCTTGATCTTTGCCTCTGCCCATCTCCATATCACACAGAAGGTGCTCAGTGCAATGCATCATGCAGTGATTCCATGATAGGAATTAGGAACTGCTCATCATTTGAATGTTTCTACAATTTTCCTGCTCATTAGAACATGTTTGATGTACTTACACATTAACAAAAATGACCTGTAACATTCATGAAAATATTTGGGTTTGGTCATCTACTTTTTTACTGTTTATTTACTCATGAAGATAGCAGATGTTCCTGTTTTTAAATATAGTTATCTGTGCTTCCAGTTGGTAGAGATCAAAGTATTAACTCGCCGATGTAGGGAAAAGAGCTCTTTTATATACACTACTAGCAGTGGATACAGGGTGAGCCTTTTTGAAATTGTTTGGGGGGGCTTGGGGGGCACGGCTGGGCCATTTTTTGCCCTTTTTGCATCGCCGGCAGAGAAAAAAGGCTCCTCGGGGGGCGGCTGGAGATGCTCTAAGTATACAATAGCATATTTGACAGATGAGCATTGGAAACTCTTCTAAATCGGTGTTTAGCATTTAACAATGAACTATGTAATTTAATCAATAGACTCACTTCAGTTGCCATGCTAACTGAAAATCTACAAGTCAAATGATGCGACTGTTAAGTGGAAGTTACTTATATTTTTTCTTACGTCACTTGAGAAGTTTCTTTTTAGCAAGCTTATTTAAGTGCAGCCGAAGTGTACTATGTTTTTTAGACGATCTTCATGTTTTCTATTGAGGTCAGAGAGCGGCTGAAGTAGTGATGGGACTACACCATTTTTAGGTTCTGAAGGCAAAGCTTCTTACAGAGTTAGTCACATTTGTCAGTTTTGTGAGTAGAAGAAACCTTGATAGCTTGTTGCTTCTGCTCAGTGTGCTTGGTGCATAAATTGATTGCTTGCTGCAAATGTTGTTTAGTGTCCTATTTCATGGTAGCTGCGGATGCTATATATTTGGTGATTTTGTTGCCGGTATTTGGAGTGCTAGGAGAGTTTCTAAACTACTGTCACGGCATTATAGATAGGATAGTGAACCAATGTGACATATGTATAACATTTCATGCGAGATTCTTTGCAACAAACAACATGAGCGAGCGGTCCATATATTATTTTCATCAAGCCGTACAATTTTTTGGTTAGGATAGAAGGGTTGTTGGTTGCTTCAAGAGTTAATAACGAGGGCCCTAGCGAGAAATGTCCTGTTAAGACGGGAATCCGAGCGGTAAGTGGAATGTCCGACAAGAAAGGTAAGTGTGCGTCGTGGGGTGGGGTTTTCGTGTTGGGACCGCATGTTGGGATAATGTATGGGT